TTGTGGCTTAGCCTTGACAGGCAGCTAAGCACTGCACAGATGCTTGCTCTCTTTCTCCCCAGTGAGATGTAGGAGAGAATTGGAAGAGTAAAAGTGAGGAAACTCGTAGGTTGAGATTAAGAAAATTTTAATAACTAAAGATCTCGAAGACAAACCCGAATTTTGACCACCATCTGACTGATGCCTTGCCAAACCCTGACCACCATCTGACTGATGCCTTGCCAGACCCTGAGCAACAGCAGTGCTGGCAAACTTCCCCACCAGTTCCACTGCTTAACATGATGCTGTATGGAATGTCCCTTTGGTCAGTTGGGGTCAGCTGTCCTGGCTGTGCACCTGCAGCCTACTCAGTGGTGGGGTTGTGAGAAGCAGAAAAGGTCTTCACTCTATGTAAGCACTGCTCAGAAATATCATGAATCCAGAATGTGGCATCATATGAGCTACTAAGAAGAAAAATAACTATCCTAGCAAAAACCAGTATATCTACGTAGGCACAAGGAGGTAACAGCTTAGGGTCTACCTCATGGCAGAGAAGTGACTCTAGAGAAAATGGTCTTAGTGTCTTGCTCACATGTTGAGTATCAGGAGTGTAATATTATGAGGCTAAGTGTTCTAGAGCAGTGATTTGTTGCCACTGCATACAGTATTGCACTACATAAACTCAACTAAACCATTTGCCCATCTCCCACTGATCTGTGTTGAAGGTGGTAGGATTTAGGCATGACTGACTGTGTGGCAGGCTCTGCAGACCTGTGTAAGCACAGGAAAGCTCCTGCAAAGGTGCTACAATAGGAAACTACAGTAGCCCAAATAATGTGACTTTCTCTTTTTAAGGTTACTGAAAAGATTGCAGGATTAGAAATCTGCAATGAAGTGGCTGAAGAAGACTGGCCAGAAATAGAGAATATGTTTCCTTTTGATCCTCAAGGTAAGAATTATTGGTGTAATTATTAAAATAATCAGGCTTTCACGAGTGTTGATGTTGTTGTCTTTGGTCAAGCTATTGTGGCAAACAAGTTAGCATGGTATTTCTCTGAAGTCCTTTCTTAAACATAAGGGTGCCTGCTACTTCTGAAATCTGTGCTCCAGATATGTAGTAGTCCAAATCCACTGTTAAGGTGGTAGGAAACTACTTCCAGATAACCATGCTGTAGTCTCTTAATGTATTAAATGGCAACTGGTAGACATGTATTCCAATAAATACTTTAGTACTAAAGGGTAGATGTTTTTTAAGATGAGTGTATGTCAGGATGGTAATCTCTAACAGAAGAGATTCCTACTGCTGTGGGCTATTAGTTGAAGATGCAGCTTCTGAAGGTGTTCTCAAAGTATCAGCAATGGGCTGTGTTATCTCAGTAATTTCTTCCCAATCACAGTAGTTTTTTCACATTCCCACATGAACTGGATTGTTTAAGGACACACTTTGAAGGACTAAAACTCCTGCTTTACATTAGCAGTTGTTATGCAGTCTTTTGGTAAGTGTTAGTGTATGGGACTTTATGGACAACAAAGGTGTAACTGCAAAAAAATACCCTATAAGGGAGGGCTGTTGGGTTGTGTTATTTTGGACCTGCTCCCACCTCATTTAATCTAGGGGATTTGCAGCTTCCAAGGCTACTGTATGCTTACTATGCTATGGTGTTTTTCTTAAACAGACTTTGAGAGTTTTGATCTTCCTGAAGAGCATACAATAAGCAATATCAACCTGCATGGTGTTCCCCTCATGGTCTTTGAAAGAACATATGACACGTGTGTGAACATGGTTCCTTCACCTGTGAAGATTGAAGAGGTTTCGTGGGAGTCTAGTAAGTGTAAACTGAGCATGAGTTTCGGTGCCAGTTGACTGCAGTAGTGAACTGCCACTGCTGCCCTGACTGCCAGGGTAGCACACTAGGACCAAACAGCTTTTGGTGTATAGTTAGGCTGAATTTAACTGGTCAACCTTACTGGTACAGGTAGTGGTATCAAACTAATGATGCCACGCAGTCTCTTGCAGTGCATTGCAAAGTGATCAGTTAGGTGGAATTGACTTAGGCAGTCAAACAATTCAGGAGGCCTAAGCTAGTTTACTGGGAGCTAGCTTATGTTACAGAGTAAGTTCTGGGTTTCCTGAGAAACTGATTCACTCTGTTTCAAACTTTCAGACTTGCTACAATCAAGTGCTGACTTCCTTGCTTCCCTGGATGAGATCATTGGCATGCCACCTCTGAATTATGACATCTAATGCATATTCTGAAGCTTCTGTTGAGTTCAAATTTTGCTTTTGACTTGTGTTTTAATAAAGGCTAATTCAATTTGTATAATACTGGACTTGTCTATTTTAGTAGACCCAAGATGCAGGTAGTAAAACATTTTTTTTTTCAAAGCACTATCTGACAAGCAATTAAAGCAGAGCCTGGATAAGCTTCTAAGCCAGACCATAATTCACTGTTGTAGACCACATCCAGGAGCCTAGTACCTGCTGGTGACTGTGTGGTCATGATAGGTTAGAGACCCTTCTGCCACCACTGTTCACATAGCATTATTCTTTGTTAAACATGCAAGGGTTTAAAAATAAACACTTCTAGTGTAAATTAAGTACTAGAGCTAGAACACTTCCAGCATTTCTCCTTTCTTCATCTTGTTTGCTCTTCACAGTGGTTGTCTAAGGTGTATATGTTGGATTCTTTTGCAGCTGTAGACTACAAGGTTGAAAGGGTTATCACGCACTGGAACAGGCTGCCCAGGGATGTGGTGGAGTCACCATCCCTGGATGTGTTTAAGAGATGGGTGGATGAGGTGCTGAGAGAGATGGTTTAGTGGTGGACAGATACGGTTGGACTGGATGATCTCTAAGGTCTTTTCCAACCCAGTGATTCTATGATTCTACTTCTAATAGTTACAGCATTGTGGCTCTTGCTCCTGGGTACTGTCTATGCTCTGGGGGTAAAGGCTGGTGGAACCCCATTCTTCAAATTATAAGCACATAAGTTCAATGTTTTCTGTTGCATTGCAATGACCTCAAGTCCCATTCTTTGTCACAAGTCAGCTGTAGATGTGCTCAGCCTTTGCTTAAGCTAAACTGCTGTTACACCTCCTGGGTAGTACTCTGATCGAGTCAGGTTACAGCAGCTTCAGCTTTTAGCTCATCCTTTAACACAGACCCCAGTGCTGTTGCTTAAGCTAAACTGCTGTTACACCTCCTGGGTAGTACTCTGATCGAGTCAGGTTACAGCAGCCTCAGCTGCCTTCAGCTTTTAGCTCATCCCTTAACACAGACCTCAGTGCTGTGCCTGTGTTCTGGTCACTGGTTAAGGTAGCTGCCTTCCTCTTCTTCCATGATGCACCCAAGCTCTGAACAGGAGGAATTGCCATGTCAGATTTACTGTTAGTCCACTGGCACTCCATAACCACAGGCAGTGGCAAGAGGAGATTTTCAGCTCATGCTAGTAGTATTATCTAAAGTAACAAGAAGCATCCTTTACTGATTGCAAGTTGGCTAGAAGATGCTCTGGGTAAGGAATGGACTTTACCTGGTGTGGGTCAGTGCTGCATCTCACTTCTGCTTCTTGGAAGTATACAATGGCTGTAACCTGACTGCACGTAAAGACTAGATGTGAACGCATAACTGTTTCATGCTGTTGTTTCTAAGCCACCTAAAAATGCAGGCAGCAAAGGAGCCCTTGTGTCTTCCAAAATGTCTGGTTTGCAGGTGCTGAGGGGAATGCATTTGCCCTGCTGGCTGGGATCATGTAAGTAATGAAGGCTCCTTTTAGCCTTGAAAAGGGTAACAGGCAGAGTGGAGAATACCCATCTACAATGTTTCGTAGTTTGGGAAGTTTCACTTCCTTAGATTTTTACTTATCAGGAGGTAAATAGAGAATTGTCCTGTTGCAAGTTCTGACCTTTGGTCTATTAGGACTAGAAACGTGCTGTTTTTAAATTACCAGACATCTGATGAAGTGAAAACAGACATTCATTCTGTTTGTTCCTCAAACTTCTCAGGGTATCAGCTAAAGTGTTAAGTTGTAATGAATTCTACAATAGCTGGTCGTTATCTCCAGTTTCTTGTCGTTGATTTGAAAACTCAAAGAGTTCAGACAAATATCAAACTAAGCAGGAAAGAAAAGATACAATTAGGGAACTTGTGTATAAAGATTTAAGGTTTTGGCTGATCCTTAATTGCATTTTAATAGTTTTTGATTCTGAAATATCTTGGTCATCTCAGCTGAGATTAAAGCTTGATGGGTATAATCTACCAGCCACAGGGGTTAAGCTGTAGTCACTATAAAAGAAGGTGACACAATGCATCTTCCTTTGACTTTACCTGTTCAAGCAGTCAGGGAGAAAACAGTCCAAGAACGGTTTTGAGCAAAAATGCCTGTAACTAAGTCACTGAAACTGGCTACACAGTGCCATCACGCGGTGGTTTGTTATACAGACAAGGGAGAAGATAGCCATTGGTATGCAAAACACCAGATAACGTGGTATGAGATAACATAAGGATGTGACACTAAATCAACATAAATGTAGGCTGTAACTTTTGGTATGTGCAGACTGACATCTCATTTGGAGAGAAACACTGGTGCTTTGTACGTGCTACAGAAGTTTATCATGGTAAAATGACCAAAAAGAATTCTTTTTACAGTATTCACTATAATCAAGCATCTAGATCTATTATTCAAACCTCCAGAAAGCTCTTTGTGCCACATCCACGTGTGTGTAAGCATGCATGTGTGTCAGACACTTAAAACACACTTGCTAGTTGTAGGATTTCATACCAAAATGGCCGAGCATTTTCATAATGTTTGTGAAGGTGACAATTGAATGACTCGGAGAGCCCTCGTGGTACTGATAGAGTTTAACTTTGAAGCCTAAAAACTCGTTGCCTGTGGGGACAGTGGGAATGGGTGTGCAGGAAGCACTGTGTGAGTCTGGCCTGGGAATGCTGCCACTCCGCCTGCGTGAGAAGGCATGCTGCTGCAGCGGAGAACAAGGTAATAATGCTGGGGTAAACTACATGGGTTCACACTGTTTTACTTAAATTAAGTCCCTTCAATGTCTAGGTAAAAAAAGTCATAGGTTTTGTGTCCTTTCTGTCACCCACCCCAGTTTTCTTTCTTCTGTGCAACTATGAAAGGGTGTTTTGGGTGCAGAGGAACATTTTCTGTAGGATCTGTTTTTGGGTATTTTATCTGAATTTCTACAAATATTGTCTCCTAACTGCTGGCAAGCAGTCGGTCAGGTCTGAGTAAGAAGCAAGTGAGGTTTTCAAGATTTTATGTGTAAATAGTTGGGTTCAAAAAAGGTGTGTTTCATCATCTCCGAGCCAAAACAAGCGTGTTGCTAGGAATCTAGCATATGGGATATAAATCTATTCAACAACACAATGCAAAAATCAATATTCTTTATATACTGTCACTACAGCTGATTAATATTTGGTGTTTAAAGATTGATTAGCTTTTTAAAATGTTGGCCACGATCCCTTTGGTTTAAAACATGAAAAATAAATAAAAGCTAATGTCCCATTTCAGACACATCCATGGCAAAACCCAGAGTTAAGAAGTCTATAGCAGGTAAGTGATGAAGTTATCTTCAGTTTCGGTTAGATGATAATTCTCAGCACCAAATTTTCAGTGACTGGGAATATTTTTGTTTCCTACATTGGTGTACTCCATCTGGGGCTTTTTCATTGAGACTTCTAATTAATGCAGGTCAAAGCTTTTGCTTTCAGAAAGTTTTATTTTGTAAACATTCATCAGAAAGATCCCTTTGTTTCAGCTGGCTTTCTTTTCCCCAGTTCAGGTACTTTTCAACCCAGCTGTCTGGGGTTAAAGGGAAATGCATGTTCCTGTGACTTACCTGGGAATAAAACTGATAAGACTCAATCTGTGGATTGAACTCCTGCCTGCAGTGGTTCAAGCAGAACAGAGTCACAAAAGCAGTGTCTCCTCTTTAGAAAATATAAACTCTTTTAGCCTCAGAGCTGCAAAACTATCCAGTGTTGGCCCGTGAAGTGCTGAGATGCGGGGAGCCTGGTTGCTGGGGATTTTGCACTGCTTCATGTCATTTCAGTTAGGTGTTAACACTTCCTACTGGTGATGGAAAAATCAACAACTTTGGTAGTTTTAATGTTGATATAACATATGCAGCTCTTTGTACTTCTGAAGTTTTATTTTCTGTTGTGGTATTGCCAAGAATAGATGCAACTTGAGTTCACGATTGTGTCTGAGCGTTGTCCTGCACAACAGAAGTCCTATTTAAAACTGGTTGTAATGTTTTGTTTTACTTGCTTAAGCAGTTTATGCTTCTTACAAAGATTAGGGATTTTAAATGTATGGCTGTGATGAAAACAAATGCTTGCTTGGTGACTTTGTTGTCTGTTTGAATTAGGTTTAATAGGGAGGGTAACTGTGTACCGGGACAGGAAATCTGCATTGTAACCACAGAGCTGGTACCTTTTTAGTTGATTCTCGTGCTGTAATGCACATTCTTTGACAGCGATCTGGCTGTGAGAATCACTTTTAAATCCTTACCTGCATTTCTGTAAGGAGAACTTGGAGGTTCACATAAAAATAATCTCTTGGCAAGCTGAGTAAAATGACTTCGGTGCACATCAGATAATTCATCCTATTTGTAATGTTCTGGCAGCGGGTGGCACCATGGTAACAGCATGTATAACGGCTTCTTGCTCCCGCAGCCCGACAGCTGTGGTGCGATGGTGTTTGCCTTCGGCACATCACACACGGCGCGGGCATCTGGAATGGGCTTCGCTGCTCCATTAATGTCAAAGGGAGGATGAGAGCCAGCGC